ATGCTGGGAAAACTGGAAAGCCACCTGCAAAAGAATGAAATTAGACTGTTGTCTATTACCACATACCAAAATTAACTCAAAATGGATTAAGGACCTAAATATGAGACCTGAAACAATAAAATGCATAGAAGATAAAATAGGAACTAATAAACGCAAGGACCTTGGATTTAAGAGGATTTTATGAATTTGACCTCAAAAGCGAGGGAAGTAAAAGCTAAAATAAATAAATGGGACTAAACTAAAATGTTTCTGCTCAGCAAAAGAAATCGTCAACAAGGTAAAGAGAGAACCATCTGAATGGGAAAATATATTTGCCAGCAACACCTCCGATAAAGACCTAAATCCAAAATATACAACCATATTCTCTGATACATACAACTCATACATCTCAATAATAACAACAACAACAAAAACAAATGACCACGTCAAAAAATGGGCAGAGAACCTGAACAGACACTGCTCCCTAGAGGACATACAAATGGCTAACATATGAAAAGATGCTCAACATCGCTAGGTATTAGGGAAATGCAGATCAAAACCACAATGAGATACCATCTCACACCTGTAAGAATAGCTATAATCAACAGGACAAGTAATAACAAATGTTAGAGAAAATGTGGAGAAGAAGAAACCCTCATGCACTGCTGGTGGGACTGCAAATTGGTACAGCCACTGTGGAAAACAGTATGGAGGTTCCTCAAAAAACTCAGAATTTATTTACCATATGATCTAGCAATCCCTCTTAGGAATTTATCCCAAAGACTTGAAAACCCATATCCAAAAAGATATTTGCACACTGATGTTCATAGCAGCATTATTCACAGTGGCCAGGACATGGAAGCAACCGAAGTATCCTACGACAGATGATTGGCTAAAGAAGCTGTGGTACATATATACAATGGAATATCACTCAGCCATAAGAAGAGATGAAATACTGCCATTTGCGACAACATGGATGGACTTTGAGATAATCGTGCTAAGCGAAATAAGCCAGACAGAAAAAGTTGAAAATCACATATCACTTATATGTGGGATATAAACCTAAAAGCAACAAATGAGCAGGACAAACAAACAGAGATTTATGGACATGGACTATAGACTAGTGGTTACCAGAGGACTGTAGAGTAGTGGTTATTAGTAGGGTCGGGGAGAAGGGGGGAGGTAGATGTGTAAAGTGGATCAAATATAGGTGTTAAGTGGAGGGTGAAGTGGGTAAAGGGGATCAAATATATGGTAGCTGAAGAAAACTGGACTTCGGGTCATAAACACACAATAGAATATACAGATGTCAAATGACAGTGCACACCTGAAAATTATATAATTGTATTAACCAATGTTACCCCAATAAACTTAAAAAAGAAAAAAAGAACAAAGACTAAGAATTGTTCTCTGTCACTAGGCAGAATGCTAGAGGAATCCACCTGTTTTCCAAGAACCTTGATGATTGAGTGCTAACACATTATGATTATCTGGCAGTACTATTTAGTAGCTATTTTAATACTTCATATTAAGATGAATTCAGATAAAATAATTTTACCAATTAATCTGCTAAACAAAGATTCAGCTGAAGGAATCTTTTTGGAAGCTTTTGGAATTCGTTTATGTTTTTACTTATAATTGCCCAAATACTTTTCCTATCGTAAAATCATTTCAGTTTGAATAGTTATGTAATTGATGAATTGAACAAGAGAGTAGTTGTTTACTTTCTGTTCATTTACTTTGTGGTTTTCAAAAAGAATTTTTCTTTTAAATTGGTGAAAAGGCAATGTTACTTATTTTTGTATGGGATAGACAGACTGATCTTTGAGATAAAGTGTCTGTGTGTGTGTGTGTGTGTGTGTGTGTGTGTGTGTGTCTATACATATATATATGTGTGTGTCTATATATATATATAGACACACACATATATATAGATAGACACACACACATATATATATGTATATATATACACACACACACACACACATATATATATATGTGTGTATATATATGTACACACACACACATATATGTAGAACATCAGGATGTGTGGTAAGCCAGGCTAGACTACACAGAGCTTGTCCAGTTTCAGAGCCAATGGGGACTTGGGTTCAGCTTAGGTTTTTTTCACTTTAATTTCCCAGTGAAGACAAGCCCTGCAAAGAACATGTGAGATAAAGATACCAGATGAGTTTGTCACAACAGGGATAATGGTCTATAGCAGCATGGAGGAGCTCAGATCATTTGAAACATTAATTTGGGGGAATAAACCCTGTAAGAGTCTACTTGATACAATGCTTCAGTTTTTAGATTCTCTTGTCTGATTTTTTACCTTGTCATTGACCCAAAATATACCACGGCCTGTAGTATGTAAGCTGTGTAGCATGCTGCCTGACATTTGGAAAGCAGTTAGTGTTTATCTGTATTTGGTTTATCTGTTTCAGTTCTGTCTTCAGATGGAATATACCTTTTGTCTCATTAGGTTCATGTCATATTACCAGTAGGACTCCTTTCATTGGCTGGCTATTCAGTTGTAGGCTCTGTGAAGGCAGAGATCTGCCCTGTTCAGTATTTATGGTGTGCATGATAGACAGACTTTGGAGTGCAGCCACAGAATTAGCACACAGTGGACATTCAATAAATACTGGATGAATTAATCAGTACAAATTACAGTGTGTCCCTACATAAAGAACCATGCCTTTCCCATATATGACAACTGAATTTAAAGTTTTTGCCACAACTCATAACATAGACAAAGAATAATAAAGAAAGAGGTTCTGTAGGTCACAAAAAGGAAGTTTGAATGGCTCCGAAGCATATGAAGAGGTACTCAACCTCACTCACAATAAAAATGAAAAAGGCATTGTAACACTACAGTGTTACACTAGTTTGGCAACACCCCCACCCATGTTTACTGTTTGGGGTTTTATGTGTTCTCTTTGTTCATTTGCTGAGGTTACAAGGAAGCTGCAACTTTCAAGTGTTGCCTGTGGATGTGTAAATAATCTCTGTAGAGGTCAATTTAATAATACATATCAAAATTACAATTCCATGTACTATTGGACCCAGCAATTCCTGTTCTGAGAATTTATTCTGTACTTAATCAGTTGGTCCCGACTTAATGTTGGTTCAGCTTATCAAATTTTCAACTTTATGATGGCATGAGAGCGATACATACATTCAGTAGAAACCGTACTTCGAATTTTGAATTTTGATTTTTTTCCCTGGGCTTGAGATATGCATTATGATACTGTCTTGTGATTCCGGGCAGCAGCAGTGAGCCGCAGCTCTCAGTCAGCCAGGCAGTCTTGAGGATAAACAGCCAGTACTCTGCAGTGTACTATGTTGCCAGTGTTTTTTGAATATTGGCTTCTGTGCATGGTTAAGATAGGCTAGGCTAAGCTAAGCTGTAATGTTTGGTAGCTAGGTATATTAAATGCATTTTTGACTTACAGTATTTTCAACTTATAATGGGTTTATTGGGACCTAAGCCCATGTAAGTTGTGGAGCATCTGTACTTGCACATATACTTAAATGCTGAGGTACAGGTTATTATTTGAAGCATTAATGTTAACTACAAAAGCTTTGAAACAGTCTTGTCCATTAGAAAGGGACTTATTAAATTATCATAATTCCAAAATGTGAAATACTATGTGACTGGGGGAAGACAAAGAGGAATCGTTTATATATGAATATGGAAGAACTCCAGGATTTGTTGTTAAATGAAAAAAAAAAAAAAAGTAAGTGTCAAAAGAGTGTATTTAGTATGCTTTCATTTATGTAAAAGAACATTTGGGTGAGGGGTGAACACATATTTCTGTTTGCTTGTACATATAAAAGATATTTCAGAAAAAAAATCCAAGAAACTAGTAACAGTGGTTTCTTAAGGCAGGAGTTTTGAGCTGGGCAATGGGGGATGAGGGTGGAAGGTGGACTTTTCACTGTATACCTTTTAAGTTCTTTTCCGATCATATATTGTCAAAATTATTAAACATTTTAACATAAATAAAATACCCCTTCCTCCTGCTAGAATTACAACTGTATTAACAATAAAACTTTCTGCCGGGGAGTATTTCGAAAGGGAGCTAGTAGTTGTTGGTGAAGGAATTAATGAAAATCACCCTTCCTGACCTGTCTTTGAATAGAAGTTAGAAGTTGACCCCAAAAGTGCTTCTCATCATTGCTGTGAAATTAGACAGTGGGGATGCCTCTTCTCTGCACCTGTTGGAGGTTCTGAAGCAAAACAGGAAGGCCAGGAAGCAGGCCATGGAGGGAAGAGGAAACAGTATAGAGTGCAGTAAAGAAAGACAAGAGATTGGAAAAGTGATTAATGTTTACTGAATTACTGCATTTGTTTTTATTCCCACACTTATTCTTCCCATAAGAAATCTTTAAGACCTTATTTCCCACTTACTACAATAACTACATTAAATTATATTTAACCCAAGAGGCTTTAATATTTTTATTTTTCTTAAATTTCTTTGTTATGGGAAGAGTTCTTCATTACATAATTGTGCTTAAATATGTTCCTTTGTGATAATTTGACTTCTTACTGAATTTTCACCACATAGGGTGTATAGTGGTATTTCTGAGAAGTTGATATTAGCCTCAGACTTATCAGCCATGGAGCAGCCCTGTCTTTGCAGTACTTTGTTGTTTTGAGGCATGACTTTTTGAAGAGAAATATAACATCCTGAAGACAACAAGGTTGAAAAGCCAAAGCATCCACCTCTGTGAAGCCCTCCCTACTTCTGCTGCTGTGCCCTCTGGACTTGCCTGCCTCTCCCCTGCCTGACATCCCCCTTTGAGAAAAGCAGGGACCTCTGGTGAGAGTGTTTTCTCTGTGCCAGCAGGTTTTGGTAGTGTGATATGAAAAAGGAAATATTGCTCTATCAGCAAATTAAAACTATGCAGCCAGAGTGGCGCATATTTTTAGATGGGGGAGCAGCAATATGTTGAGACAGATTTTTATTCTTGATTCAAAAGTATTTTCAGAATATTTTATTCTTTTCTCTCCTTAGCATGGAGATACAAAACTCCCCACCGGGTGGCATTTGTTGAAAAATTGACCAAGCTTGTTTTAAGTCAGCTGCCTAACTTCTGGAAACTCTGGATTTCATATGTGAATGGAAGCCTTTTCAGTGAGGTATGGATACAAATTTGACTACAATGTAGCTAAGTCATTGTAAATTTCTGGTCTTAAAAATTTTAGATTCTGAAGTGACTTTTTAAAACTCTTAGAGGCCCAACACCTATTAAGTGTTGTCATATATTTTAAGATTAGTTAAAAATGCTGCAAAGCCCTAATATTTAACAGCTGTATGACCTTAAACAAGTTAATTGTTCTGGGACTCAGTTTCCTCAACTGTAAATAGAAAATAGTAAAGGCATCTATCTCAAAAGGTGATTGTGAGGATTAAATGAGTTCGTCAATTAAAGAAAAAAAGAAAACTCAAAATATTTGCAAGGATTCTGAATTGAGTATACTGCCAGTCATGCCAAAATATGCATGAAATTATTGTGCTATGTAGACTATGAACAAATAATAAAACAAGGTTGAAATATTTGCAGTGTGCACACAGGTCCTAAATAATTCATATAATTATGGAATTTTCTAGTTGGAAAGAATTTAAAGATTCTGTTACCTAACCCCCATATGATCGGTCTACAGAAGTTGTTACAAGCCTTCATATTTTCCCAAGTCACACATTTTACCTGGTATCTTAATTATATCATAATCGGTACATAGAAATTATGAACATAAAATAATGACTCACTTATATGGATAACATGTGGAACTTAGATTCATCACTCTCTGGTCTCACTTCAAGTTCCCCATAAAAGGCTCCTCGGTCCTAGAGTATAGATACTAATGTCCTTTGCCTTAAGCTGCTAGGGAGGCCCCACTTGTAACATGGAGAAGGCAGCTCTGGTTTCATGTCTCTACAGAGAACTATTTTCAGTCCTGAGAGAGCTGGAGAGGTAGGGATCTTTCTGAGTGTTAAAGCTGTTTCATGCTGCTTTTGCATTTGCCAACACAAAGAGGAATAGAAAAAGGCTGAACAATTTTTGCTTTTTTAAACCAAGGCGCACCTTTGAGATTCAAGACCTGTCTTCCTTGGCAGAAAGTAGTTGGATGTCTTGGTATTCCAGGGATCCATCCAGTCTTATTTGACTAGGGACACACATTTAGGTTACACTTTAAAAAAGCGAGTTGTTCTCTGGAGTTGTTTTGTTTTGTGTTTTCACTGTATATTTAATTTTTATTTGTCCACTATCTCTTTTAAACCTAGTAGATCCCTAGATCCTTCTTTATATGAATGGTTAGTTATCTAAAACACAAAATTTACTTAGTGCATGAAAAAACAAAAATGATAATGCATGAAAAAACAACTTCCTTAGTGCAGGAAAAAAGTCTCTTAAGCATGAATTATCCCTGTAATTTTTATTACTTTAATTTTAGCAGTGTATCAGTTACTGTACTTTATAAGTGAACATTTAAATATTATAGCAATAAATAATGTACATCACAACTTTCTTATGTTCTTGTATCACTTGTTCATACAAAAACTGTTGGAAAGTTAACTATACAGAGAAAGTCAGTCTGCTATAAAATAATTGTAGAGTTTGGATGGCCTTCATAAATACAAAGTTGCTTATTGCTGGCTGAGGAAGAAAATGTTTTAATTTCAGTTTTTCAGGTGTTCTGAAAATTTTTTCTCAACATCTACTTTCAAGAATTTCCCCATCAGTTCACATTTTTATTCACTTCAGCTGGATGAGAGTTGTGTGGCTGTTGTGCTAAGAACAGGTTTGGGTTTCTTGCCCTCTCCCAGTGTGGGGGACAGCTGCAACACTCATATGGTGCCATAGCTGCTGCTGCTTATCTGTTCCATCTCTAAATCAGATTGCTCATATGAGGACTGGAAAGGTAGATGCTTCCATATCAGTGCCTTGGACAAATAGTGTTCAGATTTTTTCTTACAGAACACTAGTGTTGAATTATTTATCACTTACCCAATATTTATCACTTACTACCTGTGACCTTAGGCAACTGTGTGCCCACTTCCATATGGCTGGTTTAAATTAAAATTAAATGAGTTAACAGAAATGAAGTGTTTATAACAGTGTCTGACAGAAGAATAAGAATTTGCTCTTATTTGGAATAAATATTCATTCCAGTATTTGAAATCTCATTGACCTAGTACATAATGTGTGTTCATGAACGAAGTTTAATAGCATTAAAAAATACAGGATGGATTAACTACTAGAGTAGTGTTGAATAATGTCGAGATGGATTAACTCATAAAGGATCATTCCCTTAGGAAATGGATATTAAACCTAGTTATTTGTTTCCAGCCAAGTGTTTTTTTCTTTCCATTTGTATTGGTTCCTATAGGTGGCCCACCACACATAGTCAGTAGTTGCCTTATCTTGGGTCCTTTTAGAGTTTTTTAAGTTCCTAAGAGTTTTCTGTTTGGAATATTTTGATGAAATGAGAGTACGTTTTCCTTTCTTATAGGTTATACCTAGTTATAGTATAAAAGTAAATAAAATATTTGGTTACAGATGAAAAATAAATTAGCTACTTTTGAACTCATGAACATTAGTACTGAAAAAATAGTTTTAATTAGTTGTACTGAGTTGGATATGTCTATGGCATGTCTACTTGTTTATATTTATAAACTTTTCTGAAACATTTATAATAGTAATTATTAATTAAATATAATTTACTCTACAGATTTGGGCATGTTTTTAAACTATTTGCCCTCTGTTGAAAGCTAAAAAGATACCAAAGGGCAGTAGAAGAGAAAGGAGTAGTTAGGAAGATTTCTGGGCTTTTGGTAGCTGTTACTTAATCTCATACAAGAAACCTCTATTTTTAAATACAGTTTACTTGAAATTTCTTGTTTATCTTGTTACAGAGCTATTTTTTTTTAAGAGCCCACCCGTTAAAGATTTGGATGGAGTTTCCAACAGTTTAAAAGAGCATCAGTTCTTCAAACCAGTCAAGTCCATGTGAAGTAACACATGTGAATCAAAACAGTGAAATCTAGCCGTTGGTCTCACCACAAAGTAGTTTTGGTCTGTGTGTGCAGGAAAGAGTTAAGGTTTTTAGTTAACGAAATGGTTAATAGTAGGTTAAGATCTCACCTTTAGATATATTTTAAACACAGTGGTGCATTTTGGGGTCAAAATTTTTAAAATATCCAAATAATTTTTGAATATTAGGAATCAGCATTTAAAGAAGTTGTATAAATCATAGTGTGTAAATTAAAATGCACTTTATGTTCCAAAATTAGATTTAAATAAATAGAGCAAACCTTACATAATTTAATATGTTGGAATTGTTCAATTCTTCATCATATTAAAACAATAAGTAGGTATTTTTTAATTAACAATTGCAAGAGGTATGCCTTACAACTAATTTCCCTACTTTCTCCGCTTTTCATATATTTGAAGATAAGTCCTTGAAGTTTACAAAATTATTCTGTTCAGTAGTTGTTATCATGCATTCATTAGCACCTGTTTGGTGGGCAAAATTGTTGTGGCAAATGTAGCCATAACTTTGACATGGTGTTTTTTAAGAATAGATTTTCACTTTTTTCTTTGATTTGAAAATATATCACAGGCAAAGGACTATGAAATAATCTTCCCGTTGAACAAGCTCACTAAGTAAAAAGTTCAGTATTAGGTACTGTGGCAGATACAACTAGAAAAGACACCATCTGACAATCAAGATACTTATAGTTTTATACTGGTATGACCTTTCATTGGAATAAATTATACCTTCCTTTCAGAATCCCATTCCTTCCTCCACAGCACACTAAACCAGGTATGTATGAGTCAGGGTTCAAAGAAACAACCAACAGGACGTTGCTTCTGTTTCTCACCGTATATACAAAGAGAAAGAGATTTACTATAAGGAATTGGCTCACACAGTTATGGAAGTTAACAAGTCCTAAGATCTGTAATCAGCAAGCTGGAGACTCGAAGTACCAATCTGTAGTTCCAATCTGAAGGCCAGCAGGCTTAAGACCCAGGAAGTGCCAGTGTTTCAGTTCCGTTCTGAAGGCTGGAAAAGACCAGTGTCGCAGCTCTCGTAGTCAAGCAGTAGGAAGTCCCCCTTACTCCGAGGAGGGTTGGCCTTTTTGTTTTATTTAGACCTTCCACTGATTGGATGGCACCCACCCACACTGAGGAAGGCAAGTTGCTTCCCTCAGCCTACTAATTCAGATGTTAATCTCATTCAGAGACACCCTCACAGACACACCCAGAGTAATGTTTAACCACATTTTTGGGCACCCCATGGCCCAGTCACATTGACACATTAACCATCACAAAGTCTTTAATATAGATTTCCGAGTACAGGATGCCAGTGTTGTTCTGTACCTCCCGACAATGCAGTAGGTGCTGGGCTCCTTAGCAACATCTGAATTCATCACCTACAGCAGTCCTCCCAAACCCTAACATACACACAAAATTCTTAAACCTCTGCTTATCACTTCTGTTGACATCTTAAATCTCCAGGAGAAGCATTTGAGCCTGTTGGACTTTTCAGGCGCATATCACAGGGTTATGCCCCGCAGATCTCCTTTAAAGAGCATCTGCCATGTGTCTGGAGACTCAGTACTTCAAGTTTTTTAAAGAAACTCTTTAGATTAACCTAATAGTATTCAGAGCCGTCATGCTTTCTGATATGTATTACAACAGGTTCTGATGAACCCTAACCCTTGGCGGTCCCTCATTCACCAAACATTTATTGAATGCTCTGAATATGAATAGCCTCTATATACCAAGTACTGATACACACACACATACATGTATACACACATAATATACACACATAAATTTTAAAATATATACAGTATAAGTAAAATAATGACCAAGATATACATGACCTCTCCCCTCTGAGAGAGACAGAACCAAAATAAATTTTTAGAAAAATTATCCTAAATTTTGCTAATAACTGTAAAAGAATCAAAAGATAAAGAAAAAATTAGACTAAGAATATCAATAGTGGATGAAGATCTCAAAATGGAGTAGTGGAAGAAGGTCTCAATATGGAGATGATGTTGAAACCGAAACTCTAAGCGTGAGAAGGAAACAGCCACACAAAGGATCAGAGGCAGAGAGAAACCTAGGAAAGGCACTTGGCATATTTGAAAAACAGAATGTCACAGCATCCAGAGTATACTGAGCAGTGGTTGAGGTTATCAGGAGAAGCAAGAAATGAGGCTAGAGGAGCAGGCAGGGGCCTTCACAGACCATGGTAAGGAATTTGTATTCTAAGTGCTGTGGGAACCCATGGAAGGACTGAGTGGTAGAGTAATCTGACCAGATTTTTGGTTTTAAAAAGAGCAGTCTGATTGCCTATTCAAGAATGAGTTGGCAGGGAACAAAAGTCAAAGTGGGGAAGCTCTTGAGGCTGTCCAGGCAGGAAATGGTGGTTGGATTAAGTTTTTGTCAGTAGAATTGGAGAGAAAATGATAGATTTCATTTGTATTTTGGAAGGCGTATTGACCAGACTTAACTTTTGGCTCACATGAGAATGACATGCGCAGGAATTCATATATAGCTCCCAAATGGGCTCCCAAGTGAGTAGGTGTGCCATTTTCAAAGTCGGAAAAACTTGAGAAAGAACATACTTGGAGGAAAATATGTTGGATTTGAGAGTCCTGTGAGATGGTCAAGAAGAAACATCAAGTAGGCAATCTGAAATTCAAATCTTGGCCTCCGAGGAAAGATTTGGACTGGATATATAAATTTGGAAGTGTGATATTGTAATTATAATAAATATATATTTGGTCTTCCTCCCCATTTCTGGCAATGCACTCCTAAAACCTTTGGAATTTCCTAAGCTAGGAATGATAAAGGTGTCTTTTGTTATGTTAACGAGGTGACTTAGGTCTCCACTTTAGGATTCAGGGCTGGTTGCCAGGAGAACCAACTGTACAATTAGAGGATTGGAACTTACAGTCCAACCCCCAAACCTCCTAGGGAACTGGGGAGTTTAGTCACCAATGACTTAATTAGTCTTCCCTATATGATAAAGCCTCCATAAAAATCCAAGAGGAACAGTTCATAGAGCTTGTAGGTTGGTGAACATTTGGAGATTCTGGGACAGCAGTGTGCTCAGAGAGGGCTTGGAAGCTCCACATCCTTTCTCCGTGCTCTGCCCTATGCATTGCTTCCTTTGGCTGTTCCTGAGTGATATCCTTTTATAATAAACCAGTGATCTTGTAAGTATCATGTTTCTCTGAGTTCTGTGAGCCATTCTAGCAAATTAATTGAACCCAAGGAGGAGTTCATAGGAACCTCCAATCTTTAGTCAGTCAGTAAGAAGCACAGGTGACAACTTCAGATTGGCAACTGAAGTGTGTGAGGGTAGGGGTGTGGTTTAGTCTTGTAGGACTGAACCATTAACTGGAATCTGACTCCAGGTAGTGTCAGAATTGAGTTGAATTATAGGACACACTCCTAATGTCCAGAGAATTGTGTATCCATGTGGGGAAGCTATCCCCACCCCACTACAGACACATTCGAATTGGATAGAGAACCCAAATTGGAAGGCATTAGATAGAAATGATATTTGAAGCTATGAGAATAAATTAGTGAGAGAGTATAAAGAAAAAAGTCCCTAAGACCTGATAAACCACAACATTTAGAGAATGGCTATTTATCACCTCAGTAAGTAGGGGCCATGCATCTGCTTTTCTACACCTGTGCCACTGTATCACCAAGTATTATTTTGAATCAGAGCATCACACTTGACAGTAACAGAAAATAGGCTAACAGATATTCGGGGCCTTTTGGACTTACCTGAGTGGTCATGACTCAGATGGAAGTCATTCATTACATCTCTCATTTCTGAGACACACAGTGGAATCACTAGATTTAGTCACGTCTGCCTCAGAAGCCTGTATCTAAGCCATCTACAGGGATCCATTATCCACTATATTTGGCCTAAGACTCTGTCATCATTTACCTGGATTAGTGCAGCATTCTTCTAGCTAGTTATGTTCCTAACACTAGCCCCTCTAGTCACTTTTCACTGTAACTTTAAGCACTTCAGTTACTTCTCATTTGTCTTAAAAATAAAGTGACAAAAACATCAGTTTCTGAGTTAAATACTCATGAAGAATTCTGAGTGTTATTTGCTACTGAACTTAGGAATTTGTTTATTGAACTATTATTGAGGTGAATTTCGGGTTTAGTTTTTTCAAAAACTAAACTTTCTTTCAAAGCAAAAGTACATTTCTATAAAGAAAAAATATTAAAAGCTGCACAGCTTAATAATTTTAAAATAATTTTAAAATAAGTGTAAATTAGAGCCTTGATGAGTTGTTTATCTGTGTGTATGTTGACCACTTTTTACCAGTATGTCTTACATTTTTGTTGAAAATATTCAGCAATCATAACACTTCTTTTATGCACTCACATCAGTAATGTTTATCATTTAAACTAACTCTATACACTTTTTCCAGCTTATACATATGACATACTTATATTTTTAAATGAGCTTGAACTCAATATCATAATTATTTATAATGCATTTGTTATTAATGTGAACATTCTCTTGACATGTCTCTAACTAATAATACATGAATACAGGAAGAACAATGATTTATATTTTTTTTACAATAAAATAACAGATATAATGCTTATATGTATAAATATTTGTCAGGGGAATGGAATAGATGTCCTAAGATTACTGAACATTAATTCAGAGTTTACTCTTTTATTTCCATACTATATTAGTGAGAAATGATGTTGAGAATGTTATCATGGGTATGATACTTTTAGGTTTAATCATATAAAATTGTTGATTAAAACAATATGTCATATTCTGCTACAAAAATAAAAATGTAGTTTCAGCTTAATACTTAGGTTCATTTATGGGAATTAGGTTTATTTGTGGGCATTGTACTTAATTATTTTAGGAAGATGAACTCTTGTTGGAGTAAGGAAGATTTTCTGATTAATCCTATGCATTCTTTTAAATGAAGTTATAACCATATTTCATGCTTTATATACAGCCTCTAAAGCATATCTTATTTTCATAATTATTTCTAAAGATAATTTTTTTTTAATTTTTAAGACTGCTGAGAAGTCAAGCCAGATTGAAAGATCAAAGAATGTAAGACAAAGACAAAATGATTTTAAGGTAAGTTAAGGATAGGTATGTAGATTTTTTTCACAGGGTACAATTTTCTCAGCCATAGTAGAAGACTTTATGTTCAAAATATTCATCATTGTTCAGGCAGAATCCTTTATTTGATTAATAAAGTTAGTGACTTTTAATGCACTTTGCTTGTTTATTATTGTCTAGAAAATGATTCAGGAAGTAATGCACTGTCTTGTGAAGCTGATCCGCGGAGCACTGCTCCCACTCAGCATCCCTGAGGGCGGGGTGAGGCAGTACGGAGGCTGGGAGGTGAAGTCCGAGCTTTCTGGACAGTGGCTCACTCATGTCATCCAGACCATAAGGTAAATACGGACACATTCTCCTCAACAGAGTAAACATTTTTTTGTCTTATAAAAAAATAGTATGGGATATAATTTTTAATACATTCTACAAAGAATTTTACTTTGTCCTTTTGCCTCCACTGTTTCCCATATATTATCTAGCAAGCTCTTAAACTCTCCTGGTGCTTATGTTTAATGAGAATGTCATATTGGACATGCATCTTTTATTGTTTAATTCAGTGTTACTGTTATATTCCCTGTTATGGTCTGTCTTTTGCCTTATTTTCAACATAATATTAAAGCCTATAAGCTCCATAATGAATCATTATAGAATAGCTATAATGATGACAGGGATTGCTTTGGGATCTCTGCTCGCTTTTGTTTTGTTGTGCTTATTTTACAGGCTTACTTATGAATCATTGACTGCCCTAGAAATACCTAGTGACATGTTACAGACTATCCAGGATCTCATTTTGGATCTCCGAGTACATTGTGTGGTGGTCACATTGCAACACACAGCGGAGGGTATGTTAAGAAAAATTGATGACATTTACTAGACAATGATTATCTAAATATGCCACCTCTTCCCAGCTTCCAAATCCTTGAAAACAAAAATTACTCTTAAGGAAATTGAATATTTTAGATTACCTATATCTGCCCAATGCAATTCTTCAAAAGAAATTTTTTCAAAATTTGAGATGTCAGACCATGCAGAAACTAAAAGATGGATGTACTTAAAAAAATATTTAAGGCTATAAGAATGTCCTTATGGCAAATTGTATGCGGAAAAGTTAGAATATAAAAGATATAAAATATTATCTCAATTTTGAAAAAATATATATGTGTATATTTAAAGTTCAATTAGAAATATCAATGTAAGAGCAGCAGAAAGACTTTAAAATGGTTCTCTAAGTAGTAAAAATTGAAGGTGATACTCATTTTCTTTATACTTTTAGAATTTGGGGGATTTTTACATATAATTATAAAAAAAAAAGGTTATCTTTATAAAGTACTCCTTTGGGTATTAAATATTTTCAAAAACAATCAAAAACATTGTTACAATTGACATAAGCCATTACCGTCTGTCACCAGGACATTTAAGTAGGAAATTCACATCTATATAGAAGTAGTGACTAATATACTCAAAATGGAAAGGGAATGGAATCCAGGTGAGAAACTGAGCAGTATCCTCTTATCTCTTCACCTACTCCCCTTAGGGATCTGAGATAGACTGCAATGCTAAAAGTTTAGACAGGTGACATTCCTTTAGCCAAGTAAGAATCGGACTGCCATTGCCAGGAATGTATAAGATTTTTAATTCTATTTTATAGAATCGAAATTGTTCATTAGAAATGTTGTATAGTTTATTTTGTACATGTTTAATATTATAAAGAATGCTGAATAAGTAATAATAAAAGTTATTATTGAACCTAGCCTAGCATTCTCCAAATTGGACTATGCAGTAAAAAATTTTATTTACATTAATTTTTTATTAGAAAAATCTGGTGAACAGTATACATTTTAATCCTCGAGCCTACCAGAATTACATTCTATCCTACTTTTCCACCAATTTTACAAACCTATAAAAAACAAAAACTATAACTTTTATAGATTTTTATCTCTCTAAAGTTCATTGCGATAACTACAATAAAACGTCCTTGTGTGTTTGTTTTTCCTGTAGAAATAAAGAGATTAGCTGAAAAGGAAGACTGGATTGTTGATAATGAAGGACTGACTTCTCTAGTAAGTTTAAATTCTTTTAAATGATTAATCATTAGTGTATATTCAAACTAAATGATATATTAGTAAGGAGCATATGTTCTCTGTATTGTAACTCTAAATAGCTTCTGGAATAAGAAAAATAAACTTTTTTTTTTTTTTTTTTTTTAAGGCAAGGCAACCTTTGGTTGACTTCACAGATTGCAAGGCCATTGTCAGTTTACAATCCCTTATTTTTTAATTTTTTTGTTTTTATTGTTTACGCCTGCAGCACCTGGTCTTCCTAGGTGGTCTCCCATCGAAATACTAACCAGATCTGATCCTGTTTAGCTACCAAGATCAGACAGGATCAGACTTTTTCAGGGCATGGCTGTAGACAAAAAATAAACTTAAGTTTTTCTTCTCAGAGTCATTTTTGCTGAACACTAACCACACATATTTAAAAATTAAAAAACAGGATTTCTTTTAAAATGATCTTTTTCATTCTATATCATTACTATTTTTATTTGCATTACATTTTTTTTTAATTGATTATTTTTAAGTTACACAGCAACTTGAATTCAGAAAAGCAGGGTGGGAAAAAAATGCTATTGCTAACTCCTAAGCCAAAACATAACAAACAACAGACCTCCCCAGATATGTACACAGGTCAAACAAGAAATTATAACCATGTATTTTTCATTCTAGAATAGTTATCTTTTCTGATGGGACTTTTAGGTTTTCAAAATACCTTTGAAAGTAGTCTTTATGGTTTATTATGTTTTCACATCTATGTCATGGAGCAAATTATGAGGGGGCAACTAGCAATTTCTGCCTACTTAGTAGATAAGGAAACTAGGATAAAATGGTTTTAATTTGCCAATATTTATAAAATAGTGATTGAGTCAAGGTTTTTTCTCCTATTATCACCATTTTTTCCACAAAATTATCACAATGCCATTGACTGTGTTCCCTGTGCTCTATTGTATCCCCGTGACTTATTTATTTTGAGTCAGGTTGTTGAGAAGCAATAATCTCATGTAATATTTCTTCATTTCCTCGAATTTCTGTCCTTTTTATTGACTGTCTTTTAGAGTTGAGGAATTTTTGACAAGTTGAAAATTTTCCTTCTATTTCTCCAAAGTTCAAGGTCTTTCTAAAGTTAATAATAATATATACAAGTATACCTTACTTTATATGTAACATCATGGTTTAGAACAGCAATACTTCCAAATTTTTATAAACCAAATCATATTTGAAATTAAGGAATTTATTATTTTTAATAAATTCATTGTAACTATAAAGGTTTTATTTTTTTATAAAAATATTTTTATTTATTTGGTTTATTCTATTTTTCATAATGATTTGTATTTGAATACAGACTATCCTATAACTAATTTTGTCATACTCAATATTTGGAGGTGGGGCTGACCTGCACCATCCAATTCAGTAGCAGTGTGAGATGTGGCTTGTATAAAATACATGAGATTCCAAAGACTCAGTACAAAAAGAAAGAATGTAAAATACCTCAGCTTTTTATATTGATTACATGTTGAAATAATATTTTGACACATTTCATTACGTAAATTATATTAAAATTATTTTTTTCCTTTAAGTTTTTTTTAATGTGGTTACTGAAAAATCTAAAATTTTATATACAGCTTATGTTTGTGGCTCACATTATATTTCTGTTGGACAACAGTGGTATAGGGGATAATTTACTGCACTGGATTTAGAATCATAATCTGGTTCAGTATTTAGTTCTGCTGCATCATAGCCATACAAATCTTAAAGCCATGCAAACTTAACTTCTCTTCCCCTAGTTACAGCAGCAGAACACCTTTTCACAGTGTTGTTGGTTAAGATTAAATGGGATGCTGTGGATTAAGTGCCAAACTACAAAGCTTTGTAAACATATAAAGGAGTTTTATTTATTAAACTAATACCTGGAATGTTATACCTTAACTGTTTTTAAAGTTCTTTCATATAACCGTATCTCACTTATCACAGCAAGCCTGGAAAACATTGGACCAGAATATACTGAATAACTTGCCCCATATGAAGTAAGCCAGGGCAGATTAGACAGTGAGTCACCTTGGAGCTTGGTTTTTGATACGTGTTTCACATTGGTCTTGTGCAAATGAGAAAATTTATATGTTCAATTTGAGAAAATAGAGCCTCTGTTTTCAAAGATTTGTGTTAAACATTTTTAAAAATTGACATAAATTCAACAACAATTAGCAATAAAATTGGTATTGGCTTTAGGTCCTTCTTTAGGTTAGTGTTTCTTGCATACACAGTCAGCCCAGAATGTGCTTACATGATAGCTGCCACATCTGAGGTCTCATTGCATGCTTATGTGATACCTGCCACATCTGGGTCCCAGTGTGTGTTTACCTGAGAGCTGTCACAGCTAGGTCCCAGTGTGTGTATATGTAATAGCTGCCACATCTATGATTATTTGATTAGAGTAGATAAGCCTCTTTGAAAATGCTTCGAAATGGTTACTGTAAAAACTTGTTTGTAGTCAATTTGAAGTTTAACTATAGTAGTAAGAAACTGTAACCATAGAATAACTAATTTCATGTTTGACCTCACACACACAAGCCAGAAAACTAAACCCACCACACCTTGTGGATAAATGACCCACAGGAAATCACACTTCTAGTGTCAGCCAATTCGTCTTCCAGTCAGATGTTGAAGAAACATCATACATGATATACTTGATGAAGCTGAGCATTTTTTAGCTATTCAGCATGGACCTCACTTAAGAGATAAAGTGAATCAATGTTTAGAATAAAAGTCTAGGTTTCAGCTTTAAGTATTTTAACCTAAAATCTGTAAAACTCTTAAACTTTGAACGGTGACTTAAATTATATTCCTCTAATTTATATTTAGTTAACATTTCCATAGTACCAATCCCATTTGTTTAAAATGAGATTGTTTTATCTTTCCCTGTAACTGGCGTAGGAAAACATTCCTTATTAAGTTAAATAAATGAATGTTAAGCTTTGCCTCATTATGCTTATTCTTTCAGGGAGGTATTATCTATAATTTGAATTTCACTTTAGTGCTCTGAAATACATCCTTTAAAAGCATCCTGTTCTCATGTTGAAAATATCTTCTGCCTTTTTAAAATTTCAATAATTCTGAGAATTTTCTTCTTTCAGAAGAACTGGAATGATTTGTGATAACTTCTAACAGTCAGCTAAATTGGTGATTCACTGACAATATGCAGAGATAGTAGATATTTAGACTGTCATTTACTCCCATCTTAACTGAAACTATTCATTGGCCCTCAGATATTCTCTATAAAAGAGAATACAAAAATAAGAAAAGTCTCTACAAAAGTAAAATTAGTTCAAATTTAAATACAAGAAATCTCAATAACCACACATGAATATCAACATTTAACTTACCACAGTTGAATTTTGGATTTAATGCTCGCTATTATTATTATTATTATTATTATTATTTTAACATCTTAGATTTTCATACCTTTTGAGGAAGGTACATTGGATGGATAAGATCAGGTATCTAACAAACATTTTGGCTCTTTAAATACAGTTGTGGAGTATCTAGGAGATCGAGCTCATTCAGAATTTATCCTACAGTGTTTAAAATATAAACTCACTATATCTGCTTTTTATCATGTCATTTGCCTCTCAGAAGAGTAGAATTTTGAAGAAAAATTTTAGTTATACCTGACTTTTGTTTTTGTTGAATTAGATGTACTTTGGAATCTCAGGATTCACCCATTTTTAAATATCAAGTGCAAAACATGCCAAATCTCAATCTCAGTGACTAAGAGATTGTCAGTTTAATTGTATCTATTTCATTCTACAAATTTGGAAAATTGAGTTTTGGGCTATATTCACTTCTGTTAAATGTCTTACCCAATGCTTATTTTTGAATTTAAAGATATGCATTTTTTTTTTCCTTTAGCCATGTCAGTTTGAACAGTGCATTATACATTCTCTGCAATCACTTAAAGGAGTTCTAGACTGCAAGCCAGGAGAAGCCAGTGTAAGTTTTCTGTTACATTCAGCCTCTATTTCAGACTTTTCCAATGAAGCCTTAGGAGAATCACAATTGTAAATTTTTGAGTCATTTCAGCACAAGAGCTTTTTTTCCCTGACTGCCTGCTTATTTTATTTCATTTACATAGGCAAGTGATTTCTTGGTTCCAAGAGAGGCTGATGAAAGCTAAAATGTGAATATAAATGTTGTAGGTAGACTACTTGCATTTTTGTATACAAAGAAAGCTGGTTTTGGTGTTGTCAAGCAGCTCTATATCAGTGTCTTCTTGGGGCAAAATTACTGTAGTTAGAAACATTGCCTATAGTCCAGCTCCTCATTCATTGCCCTTTTCAGAGTAAGGTTGCTCACACTGGAAGCAGTTTTCCATGTTAACTTTTTATATTGAACTTCATATACAAAAGTTTTGTTTTCTTAGCTGTCCAGAATTTTTCACCAAAATTCTTTCTTACAGGTCTTTCAACAACCTAAAACACAGGAAGAAGTTTGCCAACTGAGCATCAGTATCATGCAGGTAACAAGTAAAAAAAGCACTGATGTCTTGAGCCTGAAATAATGCAAATTATTTGTCAATCCCCTCTTATTTATAATATGTGTATAATATATTAAATATATATTTAAAATATATATACATTTTTAAAACTATATAATAGTAAGTAACAAAATAAGATTCAAGGGAAAATTAATTCCAATTTGTTTTAGCAGTACCCCAGTTTTTCATTTATATTACACTCCCCTGTTTTGTGTTCCTGTGCTGCTTTATATATATTTCTGTTAGAGCATACATTAAATGACATGATAATTGTTTACATTGTGTCTAGAGTGTTAAGTTCTTTGGGACTAGTGCTTTGTGGGCACATAAAGTTGAGCGTGTGAATGAATGAGAGAAAAGAAAAGGTGTTTTTCATAAAATACATGCAGGAACTTAGTATTTGGATCAAAATATCGGTGCTTTTACTTTTCTGTCACTTATGCAATATGCATTGGTGGGATCTATAGTCTATCACCTATGGGAGATATATACATACATCATGCCTCTTATAGGATTTGTATTTCTCTTTTTTATTTACATAAAATTATTTTTAATGTCCAAATAGATTAGACTATAAGAGTTCCTGTTACTGAACCTTCTTATTTTTTTACTTAGATTTTTATATATTGTCTGGAACAGTTAAGCAGCAAGCCTGATGCAGATGTAGATACTACGCAGTAAGTAAAACTGAAATTAATCTCATTATCAATGAGATTAATATTCTGTTCCATTCTTTCATTTAGGAGGATTAAAAATACAGGCTAATGTTATATATTTGGTCTTATATACTACAACTTCCAATAAGAAAGATAGTTAAACATATTTTTCTATATTCGACCTATGTTTTTCCATCATTTCTTTATCATCCAAACTCATCTTAACATTATTAGAGACATGTCAAACAAACTGAACAGATGATTAGCTTCCTAATTATCCAAATGAGTAAGTTTTATAAATAATAAAGTAGAAAATTAAAATATATAACTCCTAGTCATTAACTTTTAAAATTCAGGTGTTAGAGAATTGCACTAATAGTCTTGTAAAAAATTAATTATGTTAGTAGGATTAAGTCGGGGTCAGGCTTAGTTATTTGAGCTGCAGAGGACAAGTTTTGGTTCTTGATATTTATAAATCCATAATTCTTTTATAATGTCCTTGTATAGAATTTTTTTCAATATAGTTTTTCTGAATGATATTTGACACGTAACTCTGTGCACCTAAGATTCATCTGATAGAGATAATACTGAAATGCCTCTTAAGTCAATAATTGAAAATTTGAGAATTTTTTCATGTTTATCTATTTCACTAATTGGTTTTGCCTTTCAGTATATAAGACTATCACCTCTCTGAAATTTAAGAAATATCTAATTCTTCTAGTTTTTATTTCATTTGATTTTATACGTTTAACACATTAATTCACCAGGAAATTGTATTAAAAGTTTCCTGATATTATTGGTTAAATAAGTCCTTCTTCTTGTTTTATTACAATTTCTGTTTCATACATTACTGAATTCTAATACCTAGTGTAACATATTTCTGAACTTTATATTCTGTTCCATTCTTTCATATATATTTCTATCAGTTCATGTTTTAATTATCATTAGCTTATTTTTTAATATTTTTCAGATTGGCATCTTTTTATTGCTCTTCTATTTTAAAATATTATTTGCTATTTTCATCTATAAGTCTTCCATAAGAATTCTAAAAAGAAAATAATTCTTTAAAGAGAAGAATTCCTGTCATATATTTAATCAGTGGATTTATGGTATTTCCTCCTCCACAATTTTATATTTCTGGTCACTTTTGTTAACTCATTTCCTAACTCAACTCACTTGTAAATGGTTAACTATGAAAGTTAGCTTGAAAAAGCCATGTGGAGACTTTGATAATCAAAACATTTCAATTACATGAGTCTATACCCTGGAAATTAAATTATTCGATATTTCCCCTCTTGATGATTTTTTTAAAATTTAATAAGTCAGGATTGGGAAGGCCAAAAAGCATAATTCTTATGGTCCATGTTAATAGATAGTTTATAGTGTCTGCTTTGAGCTATTAATTGTTAAATATTAGAAACATATGATTTTTGACTAAAAGAGTTATTTCTTATTATAGTTGACATACAATATTATATTCATTTCAGTTGTAGAACATAGTGATTCAACATTTATATGCTTTATGAAGTGATCACTACAATAAATCTAGTAATCATCTGTTTCATGCAAAGTTGTATTCTCTATGCGGTACATTACATCCCCATTATTTATTTTATAACTAGAAGTTTGTTTCTCTCAATCCTCTTCACCTTTCTCACCTCCCCTGCCACCCCTGCCACCAGCCATCAATTTATTCTCTGTATTTATGAGTCCTTTTCTGTTTTGTTTCTTTGTTTGTTCTTTTGATTTGTTTTTTCCATTCCACATGTAAGTGAAATCATGCAGTATTTGTCTTTCTCTGTCTAACTTATTTCACTTAGGATAGTACCTTCTAGGTCTATCCATGTTGTCACAAATGGCAAGCTTTCACTTTTTTTTTTTTTATTGCTGAGTAATATTTTGTTGTGTGTATGCATGTGTGTTTATACAAATACATAAAAAAATATACCATATCATCTTTATTCATTCATCTGTAGACACCTAGGTTGCTTCCATAACTTGGCTATCTTAAGTAATGCTGCAATGAAATAGGGGTACATATATCTTCTTGAATTAGTGTTTTGATTTTTTTTTTTTTTTTTGATAACTACCCAGGACTGGAATTTTGGATAGTATGGTAGTTCTATTTTTAATATTTATTTAGAACCTCCATACTGTTTTTCATAGTGGCAGTACCAGTTTGCAGTCCCACTCACAGTACACAAGAATTCCCTTTTCTCCACATCCTCATCAGCACTTGTTGTTTGTTGATTTTTTATTGATAGCCATTCTGACAGATGTGAGGTGATATCTCATTGTAGTTTTGATATGCATTTTTCTGATGATTAGTAGTGTTGAGCAGCTTTTCTTGGGTCTCTTGGCCGTCTGTATATCTTTTTTAGAAAAATATCTGTTCAGACTCTGCCTATCTTTTAATTAGATTATTTGGAGTTTTGGTGTTGAGTTATATGAGCTCTTTACATATTTTGAACATTAATCCTTGTCAGTTATATGATCTGCAAATATCTTCTATTTAATAGGTTGCCTTTATTTAATGGTTTTCTTTGTTGTATAAAAGTTTTTTAGTTTGTGCTAGTCTTATTCGTTTAATTTTGCTTTTGTTGCCTGTGCCCCAGGAAATATATTTAAAAAAAAGAAAAAATACTGCTAAGAGCAGTGTCAGAAGTCTTCTGTTTTTTTATTCTAGGAGTTTTGTGGTTCAGATCTAATATTTAAGTCTTGAATCCATTTTGAGTTTATTTGTGTCTATAGTATCAGAATGTGATTTAGCTTAACTTTTTGCATGTATCTGTCTGGTTTTTCTATCACCATTTATTGAAGACACTGTCTTTCCCCATTGTTTATTTCTGCCTTTTTTTGTCATAGATTAATTGATCTTATAAGCATTGGTTAATTTATGGGTTTTTTTTTTCTTTTCCATTATTCTGTCTTATTTTCTTCCAGTACCATATTGTTTGGATTATTGTAGTTTTGCAGGATAGTTTGAAATCTGGAAGCATGTTACCTCCAACTTTGTTCTTTCTCAAGATTGCTTGGGCTGTTAGGGGATTTTCATGGTTTCATATAAGTTTTAGAATCATTTGTTCTACTTCTGGTAAAAATGCCATTGGTATTTTAATAGAGATTGCATTGAATCTGTGGATTGGGTAGCGTGGTTTTGGGTAGCATGAACATTTTAATGATATTAATTCTAATAATTTATGAGCACAGTATATCCTTGCATTTATTTGAGTTGTCTTCAGTTTCTATCATCAGTATCTTATAGTTTACACAGTACAGGTCTTTTGCCTTGTTGGTTAAATTTATCCTTAGGTATTCTATCCTTTTTGGTGCAATCGTTAATGGAATTGTGTTTTTAATTTTCTGATAGTTTATTATTTGTATATAGAAATGCTGCAGATTTCTGTATATTAATTTTGTATCCTATAGCTTTATAGAATTTATTTGTTCTAAATTTTTTTGGTGGAGGCTTAAGGTTTTCTACATGTGATTTGCAAATACAGTTTTACTTCTTTCTAATCTGGATACCTATTTTTCTTTTTTTCCTTTTCTGATTGCTTTGGCTAGGACTTCCAATACTATGTTGAATAAGTGGTATAAGTGAACATCTTGTCTTGTTCTTCACCTAAGGGGAAAAGCTTTTAGGTTTTTCACTGTTGAGTGTTGATAAGCAGTTGGTTTGTCATATTATGGCCTTGACCATGTTGAGGTATATTTCCTCTATACCTACTTTGTTGAGAATTTCATCATTAATATTCATTTTGGGAGGAGTTTTTAACATACGTGAATGTTGAATTTTGTCAAATGCTTTTTCATTATCTATTGAGATAATCATATGATTTTTATCCTTCATTTTGTTAATGTGATGTATTACATTGATTAATTTGGAGTTATTGAGCCATCCTTGCATCCCTGGAATCATGGTGTATGATCTTTATAATGTATTGTTGAATTTGATTTGCTAATGTTTTATTGAGAATATTTGCACCTGTGCTCATCAGAGATACTGGTCTCTATTTTTTTAATAGTATTTTTGTCTTCTTTTGGTATGAAGGTAATGCTGGCCTCATAAAATGAGTTTGAGAGTGATAGATATTAATTCTTCTTTAAATATTTGGTAGAATTCCCCTGTGAAGCTGTCTGTGGGTAGTTTTTAAATTTAAATTATTGATTTGATTATTTTTATTGAATTTATTGGTTAATGAAATACATAAGGTTTCAACTATACAATTCAATAATAATAATCGATTCAATTTTGTTACTAGTAATTGATCTGTTCAGATTTTCTGTTTCTTCTTGATTTGGTCTTGAAAGATTCTACGTTTCTAAGAATTTATCCATTTTCTTCTAGGTTGTCCCATTCATTGGCATGTATAGTATTCTCTTACATTCTTTGTTTTTCTGTGGTGCCAGTTGTAACTTCTTTTTCATTTCTGATTTTATTTATTTGGGCCCTTTTTTTCTTGATGAGTCAAGCTAGAGGTTTATCAATATTATTTATCTTTTCAAAGAACTAGTGTTTAGTTTCATTGACCTTTCCTATTTTTTTTAGTCTCTTTTTCATTTATTTCCACTCTGATCTTTATTATTTCCTTCCTTCCACTTCCTTTTGGCTTTGTTTGTTCTTCTTTTTCTAGTTTCTTTAGGTGTAAGATTTGATTTTTTCTTGGCGATTTTTCTTGTTTCTTAAAGTAGATCTGTAGTGCTATACATTTTCTTCTTAGAACTGCTTTTACTGTGTCCCAAAGATTTTGGAATATAATGTTAACATTTTTATTTATCTCAAGGTATACTTTTGTCTCTTTGATTTCTTTTTTAACATTGGTTGTTTAGTAGCAGGCAGTTTAGCCTCCATGTTTGTGTTGTTTTCATTTTTTTTCTTGTAATTGATATCTAGGTTTAGACTGTTGTGGTCTGAAAAGATGCTTGATATGATTTTAACCTTTTAATATTTATTAAGATTTGTTTCATGGCCTAACGTGATTTCTCTTGGAGAATGTTCATGTATGCTTGAAAAGAATGTGTATTCTGCTGTTTTGTATGGCATGTTTTGCTAATATCTATTAAGTTCATCTTATCTAATGTATCTTTTTTTTTATGGTGACATTGCTTAACAAAATCCAGTAAGTTTCAGTTATACAATTTAACAGTGAGGTATATATATATTGCATTGTGTGTTCACCGTCCATAGTTAGGTCTCTTTCAGTCACCATGTTCTATTGTATATTTTAAGGCCCACACTTCCTTGTTGATTTATGCCTTAATGATATATCTACTAATGTAAATGGGGTGTTAAAGTTTCCTATTATTATTTTAGACTGTCAATCTCTTATTTTATGTATGTTAATATCTATATTTGCTGTATGTCTTTAGGTGTTCTTGCATTGGATGCATACTTGCTTACAAGTGTTATATCCTCTTGTTGGATTGACCTCTTTATCATTATGTAATGCCCACTGATATAAGTATTGCTATCTCAACTTTCTTTTTGTTTCTATTTCCATGAAATATCTTTTTCCATCTCTTCATTTTCAGTCTGTGTTTTTGTGTTTTTTTAATCTGAAGTTAATCTGTTGTAGGCAGCATATATACGTGTCACTTGTTTTTTTATCCATTCAGCCACCCTATGTCTTTTGATTGGAGCATTTAGTCGTTTGCATTTAAGATAACTATTGATAGGTGTGTGCTTATTGCCATTTTAGTAATTGTTTTCAGGTTGTTTTTAATGTTCTTCTCTCGTCCTTTCTTCCTCTCTGGCTCTTTTTCCTTATGTATTGATGACTTTCTTTAGTTTATATTTGGATTTCTTTCTCTCTTTGTGTGTGCGTATCAATTATAGGTTTTTGGTTTGTGGTTACAATGAAATTCATATACCATGAACCGTGTAAATAACAGTCTGTATTAAGCTGATGGTTGCTTAAGTTTGAATATATTCCAAAAGTCCTACATTTTTACTTTCCTCCTCCTGATGTTTTATGTATTTGATATCGTTTTACATCTTTGCGTGTGTATGTGTGTGTGTATCCCTTAACTACTTGCTATAGATATAGAGGATTATACTACTTTTGTCTTGAACCTTCATACTAGCTTTATAAATGCTTAATCTACTACTTTTACTAAATGTTTGCCTTTGTCAATGAGATATTTCTTTTCCTATATTTTCCTATTTTTAGTTGGCCTTTTCTTTTCTTTTTTGAAGTTCCTTTTAACATTTCTTATACTGCTAGTTTAGTGGTGACGAACATCAAATCTGCTATTGATTCCCTCTAGTTTTCATTTTAGTTATTGTATTCTTAGTTCTGATTTTTTTAATATATATTTTCTCTTTGTTGAAGTTCTCACTGAGTTCATCTATTCTTCCAGGTTTCTTGAGCATTTATATAGCCATTAATTTAAGCTTTTTATTTGATAGGTTTCTTATTTCTCTTTCATTCAGTTCTTTTTCTGTGGTTTTGTTCATTTTTTTTTGTTTGTAACATATTCTTCTTTCTCCTCATTTTGCTTATCTCTCTGTGTTTGTTTCTCTTTATTTGCTACATCTATCAGTTTTGAAAGAGTGGCTTTATGTAAAAGGTGCCTTGTGGGGCCCAGTGGCACAGTCCCCTCTGGTCACCAGAGCTAGGTGCTCCAGGAATGTCACTGGTGTGGGTTGCATGCACCTTCTTATTACAGCTATGCTATAATTGCTGCTGGTGCTCCTATGTGTTGGGTCTCTCAAGGCCAACTGGCTATGAGGACTGGCTGCTACTGCTGAGATAATCTGGTGTGAGGGGGCTGATCTTCTAGAGTAGGAGCCACTGTGGAGGAGCTGCCTACTGGATGTGTTGATACTGGAGCTGCTTGAGAGGTGCTTTTGCTGATGGCTGAGTTTGCCCACCAGGTGTGTCAGTGGTGGAGCTGATTGGGCAAGGTTCCAGGGCTGGTTAAAGCATGTGCTGTAGTTGTGATGTCCTTCCTACCTATAATTCACCATACTGAGCGTGTGGGTCCTGACCATCTACCCACTAGGTGTGGTTTTTCTTTAAATCCTGAGTTGTAGAAAAGTCTGTTCAGCTGGTCTTCAGGTCATTTTCAATGAGAATTGCTCTATATGTAATTGAAAGTTTTGGTGTGTCCATGGGAGGTACTGAGCTCAGGATCTACCTACTTCGCCATCTTGACTCCCCTACCACCCAGAGAACAGACCAAAAAATTTTAAAGTCAAATATACATAAGGTTCATTGCATCTTTTTATTGGTGTATAGTTTACATATAACGATATATTAGCATTTTTTTTTTTATTTTAGTGCTTTAATTGTAACTGTTCTCTTCTATTTTCAGTCTTTCTGTTGATGTTTCTTCTCCTGATTTGTTTGGAAGTATCCATGAAGACTTCAATTTGACTTCTGTAAGTAAATGATAAATAATTAAATTAAGAATAAAGCATGTCATTTTAAAACTAATGATTTTAATAAATCTGTCTAAATTACCAACTATATTAGTGCTATAGCATTACTCGAAACTTTGAAGTCATGTTTTATTTTGTGAAAATTTTAATAAAAATATAATTTTGTATGTATTCTACATTTAAAATCTGTTTAGCTGAAACTGCACCTTAAGTAGTTTCATCTGCTCTCTGCATCATGCAAGTTCTTGGGTGTGAACTAGGTATCCTAGTGGTCCCCTGGTGCTTGAAAGTTGGAGAGGAGGCAAAGGACAGGTGCCCGTTCCCCTCACGTTTCCTCTTTAAACAGAGAAGCTCTGCTTTTCTCTATATCTTATAGCATTTTATTTAAACACAAAGTTCCATGATAAAAACAAAACCCTTTAAAAAATGTTCAGTTTACTTTTCTGTTGCCTGTTTAAGAGTCATCAGCTGGAGCTTAGTGAAGTCTTTCTTGGAGAAAAAAGGCTCTTTTGAGAATTTTGTTTTTCCTGTTCAAATGTTACTTTCAGGAGACCTACTTTCACAGAGGTGGTGGTAGGAGTTTGGGTGGGTGGTGGGTGTGTGTGTGTGTGCGTGTGTGTGTGTGTGTGTGTGTGTGCGCGCGCGCGCGTGTGTGTATTTCTCAAGGAAAAAAAAATTCCTAAATTTCCTGCCTTATTTCATTTCCACAATTATTTCAATTCCTAAATAGAAGATTTGTTACATTGGGGAAAATGTAATTTAAGCAAAGTTTAAACAAAGTAACTTTTTAATAAAATCTATGCTAGGTTTAATTACTTCGATGGCTAGGTAGATAATGGTACCATTCACAGAGAGAATTCAGGAAGAAAATGGGTTCTAAAAAAAGATATAAAATTTAGTTTAATCTTTGAACAAGTAACATTTAAGTAGAGATATCTAGCGTGGGATTGGATATACTTATCTGGACTCCAGGACATAAATCTAGGTTTGTGAGTCAGCAATATAAAGCCTGGGGGTGGATGAGGATACTGGAGAAAATACTGATAGAATGAGAGGAGAGCCAAATATATAAAAATAATATTGGGAGTACCAGTATTTGAGAGATGGCCAGAAGCAGAGAGCCTTGAAGGTTCCTATAAAGGAATAACCAGAGAGAGAAGGAAATCCAGATAGAGCAATGTTCCTGAGACAGATGGAAAAAAACATTTAAACAAAGTAATATTTAACAATATCACAGACTGATGGAGTATTAGATTGGGTCAGGTGAAAACTAGAGCCTCATGATCTTGATAGTTGTAAGGTCATATATGATTGTGAGAGAATCACATCACTGGACTGCTGAGGGGCCTTCTGCTTACACTGGGTCATGAGTGAATAGGAGCCGAGGAAGTTGATGTGGAAAGTTTAAACCATTCTTTCCACTGTGAACATAGAAAGAGGGCTAGAGTAGGACATGGACTGGAGGAAAGATCCTTCTAAATTGAAAAAGGCCTTGCCAGCCATCTGGCCAACTATGGTTTTTTTCTGTATTTTAGAACAAGCCTAATTTTACATGATAATCTTTTCAGTATTTGAAAACAGCTGCTATGTGTACTTGGAATTTTCCCTTCTCCTAACACTCTAACTCATTTAGACATTCCCCAGCTGATGTGCTTGTGGTCACTATATATGGTAGTTCTCCTCAGAGTTTAATTCAGTCCTTCTTCAAAGGAGGCATAGAAAAAATGTGATCCTAACTACTGGGAAGCAACCAGAACTACACAGTAGGTTACATCTCTCTGTTGACTTACATTGAGCTTACTGCCAACTAGAACCCCAAGTTTCATACTTGCTTCTGCTACTCACAGGATCTTACTCTCCCATTTTACTCCAAAAATTATTCATTTGGTAACAAATTCATTTCCTAATTTTTCCCCCTTCTATGATATCTTGTTAAATTTGGCCCAAATTATTGAGATCTTAGGGTCTTGTTCTGTTATCTAGCAGTAGCAATTATGGTAGAAAGAAGTCTAGGTTTAGAATCAGAAGACACTGGTTTGCTTCCTAGTCTGCTTCTTCCTAACTGAATAACCTTGGGCATGTCACTGAGGGTGTCCAGTTTTCTCTGGGACAAAATTGAGATGATATTGCCTACACCTCAGAGATTTGGTAAGGAATAATTGAAATAATACATAAAGCCATAGTCCTTAATCTGCAAGTACTATCTTTAATAGATTGAGTTGTTATTTTCAAACATATATATTCATCTGAATTGTTAATAAGCTTCTGATTATCATCCAAGCTTAAGAATTTGATTATTTGATTGTGTTGTTCAATTTTTCTTTCCACTTTTATTTCTTCTGGTAGGTTAGATTTGAGGAGGGAAAAAAGCGCTTACTAAAGGTTAAGAATTTAAGTCACTCAAATAGTTTTTCCATTTTAGGGGAAGAACCATACAGATTATAATGAGAAAAATCAACCAAAGAGAGTTAATTAATAGCGCACAGAAGATGCAGCAGGTAGACTCGTAGAGAAGGCTAATATTTGGAGGGAAGATTTTTGAAGAAAAAGGCGATTAGGGATTGATTTTATAACTGAAAATCCAGTTGAGAATTTGGAAGAGTGCATCATGTTTAGAGTGCCTGATGAGTCATTATGTTTATTTTATGTGCTTTACAAGGTCCACATAAGGGTAATACCAGGCTTGGGGCAAAAGGGAATATTGCCTCCCATCCCCAGCCTTTACCTGTACACCTCTTCACTGCTTTCCTTCTGATTTTTCACTTGCCATTTAATCACAAAATGTGGATAAGGAGTATATATCCCATAACCCTTTTTACCTTGTTTTGTACTTTATTTCCCATCCACAGATTAATTCAGGGCCATTAACAATGTTTCATTTGTTTGAAGGTACTGTAATAATTCCTTGGCATTTTAATTACATTTCTTGGGGAACAGAAAAGGTGTTGAATGAGCTACACTCTGCCTGAAATAAAGACAGGCACATTTTAAATAAAGAAATTGAGAAAGTTTTTAAAAATTTGATGAAGTTAAATGAAGTTATTTGAAGATATAATCTGTGCTTGGCAATTGAGTTCAAGGAGTATATATTCATCTGTGGTTTCTATACCTCAAAGACCCAGGAACCTATTTATTTCCATGTTTATTGTATTGACTTCAACTTAAGTTATTCTGATTGCATATGAATCAGTAAACAAAATATGGATGAAAAATTTTCCTGGAAAGTGGTTTTTGCCTTTGATTTTAGTCAAGGGATCTTAAACTAAGGCCTTAAATTAGTCACATTTGTTCCAGAGAATGCTCTTCACCTAAGGGAGCACTGGGATCATGCTCTCAGTGAGCCACAATAGCCGTGACAAAAATAGTACTTCTGAACTGTAAAAGATGTTTTATTCATCAGCATTGGGGCTGGTAATTTTGATAAGAAATTACTTTATGTAGCTAGAATCCTGAAGAGTATAGAATGTAGGCCTCTAGTCCTCTCTATGACTGACACTGAGGGAGAGTCCCCTAGCCTCTGTGCCTTCTTTCCCTGTAAGAAGGAGACTATTCTACATCAAAAAAAAAAAATCTGTGAAAGCTCAAGTTTTTTGAAGGAGCCCATCATGTGGATTGTATTATAATTCTCTTATAAACTGTTTTCTAAGAGTTTCCACATTTTTGTTACTACTTAAAAATATTCATTTTTTAAAAGTTTTATTTTATTATTTACTAGTTGCAAGAATACAGTACGTTAGTTAGACATTTGTATAGTTTATAAAACGATCCTCCTAATTGCTCTTTCTCTTTTCTGGGCTCTCAAAAATATTCATTTTGTAGCTTTTTTGTGCACAAAATATTAAGTAGAATAACTAGTAAAGTAGTTATTCCTCTCTTGCATTAGAGCATTAGATTGACAGCTGATCCTATTATTTAACTGTGTTTCATCAATCTATGTCTCCATACACCTATTAAATTTCAAAAGGAACATTCTTTAACTTTTTATTGTATAATAACGAGCAATTAATAGAATTACAGAATTGTATTGTTTCTCTCTGTATTAATATTGAGAAAGAAGGACCAAGAAAAACAAAGTGTCAGCTATTGATATTAAACACCAAAATTATCATTAAAGTTAATAAGTAATAAATGTTATGTGTTAGACTCTCAATTTATTAATTGTATATGTAATTTTTTAAAAATTTGTTTCACTTTTAGGAACAGCAACTTTTGATAGTCCTAAGTAATTGCTGCTACCTAGAACGTCACACCTTCCTAAATATAGCAGAACATTTTGAAAAGCACAACTTCCAGGGAATAGAAAAAATAACACAGGTAAATTAATTATGTTAAATGGACAAGTTGGTTGTTTTATCAACTTAGTTTCCAGACTGTTTTCTAAGCATCCTCTTTCTTTTGCTTTCCTACACTTTTCCCTCTGCTTGCTCTCCCCACACCCATATTCCTTCCCCATCTTCACCCAACCCTATCTTTGAATGATTGCTGTCCTTCTCATAACTCACCTTGAATCATTAATTTAATACACTCATCTTTCCTCTAGAACAAAGCTTTCTCAAGGTTAGAGCTGATTTACTCCTCACCTAAGCTGTTCAAAAGTAAGAGAATAAAATAATGAGGGAAAGGCATTAAACCCAAATCTTTAAGAATCATCTCAAATTTGGCTCCTTTTAGATTAAAGTTTTTATTTATAGCCAACAGCAAACTCTGAGCCTGCAGAAAAACCTCTTCCTGCTTATTCACACTTCTTCCTCTCTCCCTTTCCATAAGATTGCAGTGATCCTTTTGCTTTACTACTTAAGCAGGCACACAGGTGCTTGAGCACTTGTGTGTGTACACATACACACAACTGGCTTACAACAGACCTTGTACCAGAAAAATACAAGTGCATACTCTCCACTCTATAGTCCGTAGCAAGACTGAACAAAAATGAGTCCTGTATTAATGGAGTAGGTTTTTAAAAAAGTTATACTTTGTTGTGTATATTTGTTACACAACAGATTTGGACCAGAAAAGTACAAGTACATATTCTCCACTCTGTAGTCCGTAGCAAGACTGAACAAAAATGAATCCTGTATTAATGGAGTAGGTTTTTAAAAAAGTTATACTTTGTTGTGTATATTTTTTTAAGTAAGCAGAAAAGGAAAATGTGAAGTAACCTTGTTATTAGAGGTTGGTTGGTTCCTGAGCATGTTTATCAGATTTCTAAGTAAAACTAAGCTAGAACCACTTTTTAATGTCAGTACAGTTTTCTCAGTGCAAAGAGTAAGAAAGATAATCATCTTGTTAATCTTATAATCAAAATGTACTCTTGATAGATTGCATATTTTTTACAAATGATAGTTCTAGTTCATGAGCTGAATTGGGATTTTTTTTTTTTTTCAAAGAATGAAAATATCAAAGTGGGTGGCTCTGTCTTGTTTTCCTGCCTTTTCGTAAAGATTAATCATCCTGATGAGAAATGTTGTGACTTAAGATTATAGGGCCAAAAGTCAAGTTTATTTCCAGAAATTTTTGTATTGTGAATTGCAAGGTACTCTCTTGCAGTAAGTAATGGGCACTTTGTTCTTATGCAACAACAATAATAATACCTGTATATTTATTGGAGAAACTTTTTATCATTTAAAAAATATATGAAATGATTAGGAATTGTATATAGCAGAGCAATAAGTTAGGTTTTCTTTAGGGTTTTACAAAATTTTAAGTAGGAACTATATATTGCTTCAGTTTATATTATTAAGAAGTAGAATAAAATTGATATATAAAGAGACTTAGGTATCCTTCTTAGTCTTTTTCCAGATCCTTTTGAGAACAAGCTAATATGAAGAATTTGGGAATGCAACTTAGACTAAATGGTAGGCTAGTTCTCACATTCAGAATTAGAATTTTTTTCTGAATTTTTAAAAAAAATTTCAATTTATAGTGGGCATACGATATATTAATTTCAGGGGTACAACCTAGTGATTAGACATTTATATAACTTACAAAGTGATAGCATCGATAAATCTAGTACCCATCAGGTACCGTATAGTTATTACAATATTATTAACTGTATTCCTTATGCTATACTTTAAATCTCCACAACTCTTTTGTAATTACCAATTTATACTTAAGCCCTTCCCCTTTTTCACCGACCCCGCAACTCCACTCCCATCTTGCAGCCATCAAAATGATCTCTGTATCTGTGAGTTTGTTTCTGATTTATTTTTTTATTGTGTTCTTTATTTTCCACATATAAATGAAATTGTATGGCTTTTGTCTTTATCTGACTTACTCCACTAATAACAATACTCTCTAGTCTAGGTCCATCTATGTTGTTGCAGATGGCAAGATTTCATTATTTTTTATGGTTGAGTAATACTCCATTGCATATATGTACCAGCTCTTCTTTATCCATTCATCCATTGATTGACACCCAGGTATACTCAGTATCTTGACTATTGTACATAATGCTATACCTTAAAAATAGTGTTTTAAATTTCTTCAGATAAAATACCCAGAAGTGGGATTACTGGTCCTTCTTTGTCTCTTGTCACAGCCTTTATTTTAAAGTCTATTTTTTCTGGTATAAGTATTGCTAACCCAGCTTTTTTGTTTGTTTGTTTCATTTTCATGAAACACTTTTTTCCATCCCTTTAATTTCAGTCTGTGTGTGCCTTGCAATCTCTTGTAGGCAGCTTATATAAGGGTCCTGTTTTCTTATCTATTCAGCTACCCTGTCTTTATTGGAGCACCTAATCCATTTAAATTCAAAATAATTGTTGATAGGTATATAGTTATTGCCATTTTATTATTCATACTTATAATTTTTTTTTTCTTTTTTCTTCTTTTCAAAGAACTTCCTCCAGCATTTCCTGTCATATTGACTTGATAATGAACTCCTGTAGCTTTTTCTTGTCTGGGAAGCTCTTTATCTGTCCTTTGGTTCTAAATGATAGCTTTGCTGAGTGGTTGTACCTCCTTACTTTTCATCACTTTGAATATTTCATGCCAGTTCCTTCTGGCCTGCAAAGTTTCTATTGAGAAATCAGCTGACAGTGTCAAGGGAGCTCCCTTGTAGGTAACTAATTGATTTTCTCTCGCTGCTTTTAAGATTCTCTCTTTCTCTTTAACCTTTGGCATTTTAATTATGATATATGTTGATGTGGGCTTCTTTGGGTTCATCTTGTTTGGGACTTTCTTTGCTTTCCTTCACTAGGTTCAGAAAGTTTTCTATATTTCTTCAAATAGATTTCTTTTTTTTTTTTTTGATTCCTCATTCTCTCTCTTGTCCTTTTGGTACCCCTCTGATGTGAATGTTGTCCCAGAAACCCCTTAAACACTCCTTTTTTATTATTATTTTTTTTTATTTTCTTGTTTCTTTTCTGATTGGGTGATTTTTTTTGCTATCTTATCTTCTAAATCTCTGATTCAATCCTTTGCTTTATCTACTTTATGTTGATTCCTCCTAAGGTATTCTTCATTTCTCACTGGTTCTTTTTTATGTTTTCTATCTGCATTTTTATGTTCTCTGTTTCTTTGTTAAAGTTCTCATTAAGTTCATCTACTCTTCCCCTAAGTTCATTTAACATCCTTATAACCAGTGTTTTGAACTCTGTCTCTGGTAGATTGCTTGTCTCCATTTTGTTTAGTTCTTTTTCTGAAGCTATGTTTTGTTCTTTCATTTGGGACATGTTTGTCTTCTACTTTGGCTTCCTCCCTGTGTTTGTTTTTATACTAGGTCTCCTGGTCTTAATAATTGATAATGCAGTAGGTCCAGTGAGATTCAGTGGGGCAGTCTCCCTGGTCACCAGACATGGGTGCTCAGGTATGTCCTTTTTTTGGATTATGTGTACCCTCCTGTTGTAGTTGAGCCTTGGTTTCTGTTTGCATGTCAGTTGGAATGATTGACCCTTGGGCTTATCGAATGTGAGGACTGGCCAGTGACTAGTGGAGGAGCTATTGCACAGGGACTGACTCTTTGGAGCAGGATTCACTTTAGCAAGGCTCTGATGCCTTCTCAGTCTGCCTTTTTGGTGTGTCATGCTTAGATGTGGCCTTGAGTGGTGCTCCGGCTCAGACTAAAGCTGACCACTGGATGTGCAGGCCAGTGGTACTCCCTGCGGGGCTTGCTGCAGGCCAAGTTCACCTGCCACCAGTACCCAGTCTGGAGCCATTTCACATGAGCTACCAAGCAATCTGCAGATGACCGCCACACACACTCGGCTTGGATGTGCCTCAAGAGGCCAAGCCACAAACTTAGGCTGACTGTCACTACTACTGGGCTTGGGACTGCTCAGCAAGAGATACCAATGATTATTTAAAGCTAGAATGAGTTCATATATATAATGTTATTTGATGCAGATAGTCCTAGGAAGTAATTAAAGAAGATATTAACTTTTTTTTTCATGCAAAAGGATGCTCAGAGAGGTTAATGATTCGCTCTATTTAAATAGCAGAGCAAACAGCACTCAACATTAATTTTTCTCATTCCAAATCCAGAATGTTTTCTGGCTCCGCACCATACATCTTAAAATAAAGAACAAAATTATTCCCATGAAAATATACCAAAGGAATAAGACATTTACAGTAGCTGTAATTATATAATTTCAAGGAATTTTTTAAACATATGTAAAATGCTATTTTAACCTGTCTTATTCTTTAAAAAGCAAATATCAAATTTAGAGTTTGTATAATTGCAGATTTTCAGTTGACTCGGGACTGTAGTCATTAAACAAGTCTGTCATTGAATTCTTGATTGAAGTTTTATTCCAACATGGGAGTTGTAAGGACAGCTTCTTTTTTTTTTTTTTTACTATGTCTAGGGAAGATCTTTTACATACATCAATCAGTTTTAAAGATTTTTGAGTCACTTGAATCGTATGTACCATATTTTACACACTTGATTATTTTAGCTTAATTGTATAATACTTAAATTTTGTTTGAAACCACTTGAATTCATAGATGTGAATGACTAGTTTTATGTCCTTTATATTTATTTTAGCTTCCCCATCTCTTCATAATGTAAATTAGGTAAATTATTTTTAGAGGCTCTTTTTAGAAAATAAATTAGTTGTAAATTAATCTGGGAGTTTAAGTTCTTATAGACAGGAATTATCAGTTGATCAGCTGTGTCTCTGCCTACTAAATACTTAATTTTTGGCCCTATTTAATTGCCTCAAGTTCCTTGTGTAAATGGAGAGGGTAAAAAGAAACACAAACATAAGGAGATAGTACAGCTATAAGAACTCAAGGACTTTATAACTTATAAAGTAAAATATTTTCTCTCATGTACAGAAGTTAATTCAGAAAAGCTTTCCCAAAGCAAGGAAGGAGAT